AGTAATTACTGCCTCGCCGGCTAGCCTTTGGGACCCCCGAGGCTCTGGCAGGCAGGAAGAGGCCACCCATGGTCCTCAAGTCTTTGGGTGGCAAGAAGACAGCCTCCCCTACCTGATGGGTAACTCCTCAGACAGGGGTCAGCTCACTGTGGCCACCAAGGTGCCGGCTGGCAGGGAAACAGCCGCCCTAGCTGATGCTTAATGTTCAGACAGGAGCAGGGAACCACATATCTGCTTGTGGCAGGAAGACAGCCAACCCGGTTCCTCAAGGTTCTGGCTAGTCGGAAGACGGCTGCCTCACCTGATGCTTTACTGCTCAGACGGGTGCTGGCTGTTCGGGAACCCCAGGGCCCTGGCTGTCGGGAAGACAGCCACCTGGGGTCCTCAAGGCACTGGCTGGTGGGATGACGCCCAACCAGGGTCCTCAAGACTCCTCCTGATGGAAAGACAGCCAGCCTTGTCTGATGCTTAGCTGATCAGATGGGTGCTGGCCGTTCAGGAACCCCAAAAGCATGTGGGGAGAGAGCCGGCCAGGGTCCTTAAGGCCCTGGGTGGTGACATGAGGGCCCTCCAGGGTCCTCAAGGACTTGGGCAGTAGGATGACAGCCGCCTCCACCTGATGCTAAGGAACTACTCAGACAAGGGCGAGTTGACTGGGAACCCCAAGGTCCCCTTGATGGGATGACAGCCACTTAGTGTCCTCATGGCCCAGGTTGTTGGAATGACAGCCACCCAGGTTCGTCAGTGTCACAGCAGGTAGAATAACATTCACTCGGAGTCCTAAGGGCTGTGGCTGGTGGGAAGACAGGCAACCCCCACCTGGGGCTTAACCCCTAGCCACTGCTCAGACAGATGCTAGTTGGCTGGAACCCCGAAGAACGCGGCTAGTGGGATTCCAGCCATCCATCCGTCATCAGTAACTGCTGCATTGCTGGTTAGCCTTTGGGACCCCGGAGGCTCTGGAAGGCAGGAAGAGGCCACTGGTGGTTCTCAAGGCTCTTGGTGGCAAGAAGACAGCCTCCGCTGCCTGATGGGTAACTGCTCAGATATGGTCAAGCAGACTGTGACCCACAAGGCCCCAGGTGGTGGGATGATGACACCCGGGATCCTCGAGTCTAGGGCTGGCAGGAAAACAGCTACCCTGCCTGATGCTTACCTGCTTAGACAGGTGCCAGAACCCCCATATTTCCGGGTGGCAAGGAAACACCCACCCTGGTTCTCCCAGGGCCTGTCTGGTGGGATGTCAGCCACCCGAGGTCTTCAAAGCCTTGGTTGAAGGATAACAACTTCCAGGGGTCTTCAAGGCTCAGCCACGCAGGTAAACATGAACCCAGCCTGTTACTTAACAGCTCAGAAAAGTGCCAGAAGCCCCATTTGTCCAGGTGGCCGGAAGACTTCACCTGGGTTCTTTGACCCACTTATTGGGGGAATGTGAGACACCGAGGTCTTCAAGACCCTGGTTGAAAGATGACAACATCCAGGGGTCCTCACGGCTCCGTCTGCCAGGAAAACAGCTACCCTGCCTGACGCTGAACTGCTCAGGCAGGTGCCAGAACCCCATGTCTCCGGGTGGCCGGAAGACAGCCTACTCGGTTTTCTCAATGCCCTGTCTGGGGGGATGTCACGCACCCCGGCTCTTCAAGGCTCCTGCTGGTGGGAAAACAGCTACCCTGCCCTATGCTGAAGTCTTCAGAAAGGGTCGCAGACAGCCATATCTCCGGGTGGCAGGGAGACAGCCAAGCAGGGTCCTCATGGCTACGGGTAGCCTTGAGACAGTCACCCTTGACTGATGCTTAACTGCTCAGAGGGTAGCGACCGAGCCAGGTCTTGCAAAGCCCAGGCTGGCTAGAGGGCAGCCACCTGCACCTGTGGCATCAAATGTCAATTTCGGCCACCCTCCAGAACCTCCAGGCCTCAACAGGCATAAAGAGAGACAGCAGGGGTCCTCAAGGCTACCGCTAGCGGGAAAACAACCACCCCTGACTGATGTTTAACTGCTCAGAGGGTTCTAGAAGTTCGGTACACCAAGGCCCTGGGTGGTGAGATGACAGCCACCCAGGGTCCTCGAGGACCTGGCTGGTAGGATGACTGCCACCTCCACCTGATGCTTAACTGCTCAGACAAGGGCCAGCTGCCTGGGAACACCACGGCCTCCACTGTTGGGATGACAGCCACTTAGGGTCCTCATGGCCCAGGCTGATGGGATGACAGCCACCCAGGGTCTTGAAGTCCTCAGCTGGGGGAGTGACTGACACTTGGTGTTCTCAGGGCTGTGGCTGGTGGGAAGACAGGCACCCCCTACCTGATGCTTAACCCCTAGACACTGCTCAGACAGATGCTAGCTGGCCTGAAAACCAAAGAACCTGGCTGGTGAAATTCTAGCCATCCATGTGTCATGCGTAACTGCTGTTTGCAGCCTTTGGGACCCCCGAGGCTATGGCAGGCAGGAAGAGGCCACCCATGTTCCTCAAGTCTTTGGGTGGCAAGAAGACAGCCTCCCCTACCTGATGGGTAACTGCTCAGACAGGGGTCATCTCACTGTGGCCACCAAGGCACCGGCTGGCAGGGAAACAGCCACCCTGCCTGATGTTTAATGTTCAGACAGGAGCAGGGAACCACATATCAGCGTGTGGCAGGAAGACAGCCAACCCGGTTCCTCAAGGTTCTCGCTAGTCGGAAGACAGCTGCCCCACCTGATGCTTTACTGCTCAGACGGGTGCTGGCCAGTCAGGAATGCCAAAACCCTGGATGGTGAGAAGAGAGCCAGCCAGGGTGATTAAGGCCTGGGTGGTGACATGAGAGCCACCCAGGGTCCTCAAGGACTTGGGCAGTAGGATGACAGCCACCTCCACCTGATGCTTAACTAACTACTCAAACAAGGGCGAGTTGATTGGGAACCCCAAGGTCCCCTTGATGGGATGACAGCCACTCAGGGTCCTCATGGCCTGGGCTGTTGGGATGAAAGACACCCAGGATTGTCAGTGCCACAGCTGCTGGAGTGACTGACACTCGGGGTCCTCAGGGCTGTGGCTGGTGGAAAGACAGGCACCCCCCAACTGGGGCTTAACCCCTAGACACTGCTCAGACAGATGCCAGCTGGTCTGAACCCCGAGTAAACTGGCTGGTGGGATTCCAGCCATCCATGCATCATGAGTAACTACTGCATTGCAGGCTGGCCTTTGGGACCCCCGAAGCTCTGGCAGGCAGAAAAACCCGCCTGTGGTTCTCAAGGCTCTTGGTGGCAAGAAGACAGCCTCTGCTGCCTGATGGGTAACTGCTCAGACACGGGAGAGCTGACAGTGACCCTCAAGGCCCCAGCTAGTGGGATGAATGACACCCGGGATACTCAAGGCTAGGGCTGGCAGGAAAACAGCTACCCTGCCTGATGCTTACCTGCTTAGACAGGTGCCAGAAACCCCATATTTCCGGGTGGATGGGAAACACCCACCCTCATTCTCCCAGGGCCTGTCTGGTGGGATGTCAGCCACCCGAGGTCTTTAAGGCCCTGGTTGAAGGATAACAAATTCCAGGGGTCTTCAAGGCTCAGCCACGCAGGTAAACATGAACCCAGCCTGTTACTTAACAGCTCAGAAAAGTGCCAGAAGCCCCAATTGTCCAGGTGGCCGGAAGACTTCACCCGAGTTCTTCGAGGCCCTTTCTGGGGTGATGTTAGCCACGCGAGGTCTTCAAGGCCCTGGTTGGAAGTTGACAACATCCAGGGGTCCTCAGGGCTCCACCTAGAATAAAAACAGCTACCGAGCCTGACGCTGAACTGCTCAGACAGGTACCAGAACCCCCATGTCACCAGGTGGCCAGAAGACAGCCACTAACCCTGGTTCCTGAGGCCCTGTCTGGCAGCATGTCAGCCACTCGGGGTCTTCAAGGACCTGGCTGGAGCAGGAGAATATCCAGGGGTCCGCAAGGCTCCAGGGAGTCTTGAGGCAGCCACCCTTGCCTGATGCTTAACTGCTCAGAGGGATACTACCCGGTCAGGTCTTGCAAAGCCCAGGCTGACTGGCAGACAGCCACATGCACCTGGGGATGAAACTCTCAAATTCGGCCACCCTCTGGGACCTCCAAGGCCCCATCAGGGATAAAGAGAGACACTCTAGGTCCTCAAGGCTCCAGCTAGCAGGAAGACAGCCACCCCTGCCTGATACTTAACTGTTCAGAAGGGTTCTAGCGCTTGTGAAACCCCAAGGCCCTGGCTGGTGAGAAGTGAGTCACCGCGGGTCCTCAAGGACCTGGCCGGGAGGATGACTGCCACCTCCATCTGATGCTTAACTGCTCAGACAAGGGCCTGCTGCCTGGGAACACCAAGGCCTCCGCTGTTGCCGTGACAGCCACTTAGGGTTCTCATGGCCCAGGCTGATGGGATGACACATACCAAGAGCCTTGAAGTCCTCAGCTGGTGGAGTGACTGCCACTCAGTGTCCTCAAGGCTGTACCTGGTGGGAAGACAGGCACCCCCCACACCTGATGCTTAACCCCTAGCCACTGCTCAGACAGATGCTAGCTGGCCTGAACACCTGAAGTACCCGGTGGTGGGATTCCAGCAATCCATGCATCATGAGTAACTACTGCATTGCAGGCTAGCCTTTGGGACCCCCGAGGCTCCGGCAGGCAGAAAGACGCCAACCGTGGTTCTCAAGGCTCTTGGTGGCAAGAACAGAGCCTCTGCTGCCTGATGGGTAACTGCTCAGACATGGGCGAGCTGACCGTGACCCACAAGGCCCCATCTGGTGGGGTGAATGACACCTGGGATACTTGAAACTGGGGCTGGCAGGAAAACTGCTCCCCTGCCTGATGCTTAACTGCTCAGACAGGTGCCGGAACCCCCA